GACCCCCCCCCCCTTGCGAAAGGCCGCCCCCCGCTCGTGCGTGCTCGACCTTTGCTTATTCCTCCTCTTCTGCTCCTGGATCTCCCTCTCATACTGGGCTCCTCTTCCTCCCCCTCCCCCTCCACAATCACACGACACGAATCCTATTCTCCTCTCTCCCCTGGCGACGTCTGGGACATTTTCGCCCCCCGTCCGCGCACTGGTTTTTTGAACAGGATTCCCAGGAAACGGCTTTTCGCTGTTTTCTTTTCAAAATGCTGCTCTCGCTGAAGCTTCATTTTCGGGCTACCGCTCGTTCCGAATCGTGCTCCCGCTGCAGCGCTGGCCTCATTTCCGCGCTTCCGCTCGTTCCGAATCCTGCTCCCGCTGCAGCGCCGGCGTCATTTCCAGCGCCATGCCACGGCATAGTTTTCGGTTCTTCCAAATAGGCCCCAAAATCTAGGAAGTGCCTCCCCCAAACAACGAAATGATTACACGTTCGGTGTCGATTCGTTGATTTTTGGGGCCGCAGCAGCCCCCCCACTTTGGGACGTCACCACGCATGCTATGTCAGGATACGCGTTGATCTTCCACACCATGCTATGCCATGTAATGCTATGCCATGCCACGACATAGGACTGTGCGAATCGAGAGGAGATCTACGCCATGGTAAGGGATGGGAGGGAGGGTAGGACGTCAGATATGACGCGAGCGCATCCAGCTTGTCCCTTCCCATCCCCCCCCTCCTCCTCCTCCTCCATTCCGTCCCATTCCCCCTCCCCCTCCCCCTCCTCCCCCTCCCCACTCCCCTTCGTCCCCTCCGTCCACTCCGTCCTCCCCTTTGTCCCCCTCCGTCCCCTCCCCTTCGTCCCCTCCCCTTCTTCCCCTGAGTCCCCTCTCCTTCGTCCCCCTCCCCTTCGCCCCCCCCCCCTTCAACCCCCTCCCCCTCCTCATCCTCCTGTTGCCCCAACATTAGCAGTTGGTCATGACCCATGGACTTTTCCATAGCACGCTCCGCCTCATCCTCTCTCCCTCTCGCCCTTTCCACACTTACTCAGTATAACCTATGCTTGCGGGGATCCGCCTCCCCCTGCGTTTTGCCGGTTACGCAGGATGTCAACATATGCATATGTGTTGTATGTGTCTTCTCTCAAACTGAAAGTCCCCCCCTCTCAAACGTTGCTCCAGCTGCAACGTTGGCCTCATTGTAGAGTCGGCGCTTTGCTCCCGTCGTTCAGAAAAAATGCTCTCGTCTAAGCGTGGGCCACTTTCTGCATACGATTCTCTTCTCTTCGTTGTCGCCCTCCTCCTTTCCTCTTCTCCGCACTCCTCTGGTCCTCCTGCTTCTCCCGTTCCTCCTCCTGCTGCTTCTCCTCCTCCTCCTCCTCCTCCTCCTCCTGTTCATTATACTGCTCATCCGTCACCTCTCCCTCCAATGTACACAGCTTCCCACTATGATTGCGCATCACGCGATGAGGTCACTTTTGGGATCCACGTCCGCTTGGACACCCGTCATCAGACAAAGAAAGCACACACGCAATGCAAAGGGATGGGTGGGAGGGGTAGGATGTCAGACATGGCGCGAGCGCACCTTGCTTGCATCCCCCCTTCCCTTCTCCCTCTTCTCCCTCTCCTCCCGCCCCTGAGAGATAAGAGAGAGAGAGAGAGAGACGAGGATCAGGATGAGGATCACGACGATGATGGTGATGGCGGGGTGCTGGTGGTGGCGATGATGGTGACAGGGGCACTGGTGATGGTGATGATGATGTTGATGGTGATGGTGAAGGTGATGACGACTGCGACGAGGATAGCGACGGTGATGGCGACGATTATTATGTTGCTGCTGGTGATGGCTATGATGGAGACGGTGGCGATGATGTTGAAGACTGCCCAAGTAGGCTTGCCTACTGAGCTCTAACTTACTGTAAAGGAGTGGGTCCGGGTTACTCGCCCCTGCCCGCTGATTCATTCTGCACGATCTTGGTTGGCCGTATGGCTTCCTCAGTATTCGCACGTTTTCTTGGCTACTCGGGTTATTCGCATGGCTGCTTGGCTAATGCAAAGTATGAGGATAGAGTGGAGCAGAGTAGAGTAGAGCACTGTACAGTAAAGCAGAGTAGAGCTCACGATCATGGCCATCCGCATTGGTTCCTGCATATCATCACGGCTTCCTGACGAGTGCCAATGGCGAGAGGAACGTAGAGCAAAGCAGAGCAGAATCTGGTTCTTGTGGTGCGTGATCATACCCGCCCGCCCACGGGTCCACCCTATCATAAAAGCATAATCCATCATACGCGGCCCGATCATAAAGTTTGCCTCTGCGTAATCGATGATACGCAGTCGCATCATACATCTCCTTCCCCACGCCACAGGCAGTGAGACAAGTGAGCGATGGGCGCCTGCTGAAGATCCCAACTTGTTCACCCAATCGATTCGGAAGTCCGTGCAATTTGACGAACTCATGCGCACATCTGGATCAAGCTGTTGATCTCATGCCCGCATCTGGACCAAGTTTATAAGCTCATGCGCGCATATCGGTGATGGCGTTGCTGAACACTGGCGCCAGCGCAGAACACCTGGCAGGTGACTTGGTTGTCGATTCAATGTATGTTTCATGCTTGAAGATCTCGGTCCTGAGCAAGAGCTGACCAGTACGCACTACCCACTGGTACGCCAACTCCGACTGTTCAGCGGTACAGTAACCCCGACGGCATTAGACGGAGCAGAGACGTGGACACTCATGGAGCCCCTCCGACAGCATTTGCGACGGACACATTACGAGTGCTTCGCCTGATCATCGGGGCACCGCGACAGCGCACGACGAGCCAAGCAGATCCCGACAGCAGCCAGGGAGTTATGGCCTTCGACGGCACGCACAGCGAAGCACGAGACAATGACCACTGCGCAGACAGCACCAGCTTCGACGCGGATAGCAGCCCACCAGAGAGCGACGCACCTGCTACACTTGACCTGCACAGCGATGTCGACACAGACAGCACCAACGCAGATCCGATGGAACCCTGGGCCGAATGCATTCAACGTGCCACGCGGCGCGCATAATACCTCACGTGGCTCCATCACATTGCCAGCTGGGTCACGCTGCACGAGCGGAAGACATAGCGAATGGCTTCAAGAGTCTCAAGTCACGGCCACACAAAGTGGATCTTGCGAGTGCTGCACTGGCAACCATACCTCAATCCACGCCAACGCGGACAGCGACAGCAAGGTCGCCAGCGCGAAACCAACACCTATTTACGTCAACGCAGGCCAGCTCCACCGACTGCCTACAACAATCCATCCGGAAGGACAGCCCAACGACATCACATGGGTACGCACGGCCTAAGACACCGCCACCTCCACTACGCTAGAGCACCAGTACCCCGACCCCAGCCGAGCAATCACTATCACCCAAGACAAATAACGAGAAGTCGAGACGACACACGCGTCTACACCGACGCCTGGGAGTTCCTCCTCCTCACCTCATCCTCCTCTCCTCGTATGTCTCGCATTGCATGTGTCCAGACACGCCAGAATCCAGAGGCCACGGCCTCACCCACCTGGTCTGAGCTAGGCCCAAACGCTTGTCCGCAGCGGTGGTCGTTCGTTCGCTCGATCTTGAAATGCTAAGATGTTCGACGGGTGTCCGACGGAGCTCTTCGCGCAATGATTTTTGATTAGATGGGAATGGTGAAACATGATTTGTCTCTTCATTGCCTTTGGCGGATGCTGTCTTGCGCGCGCAAGCGCGCATGTGGTCCCCATAGCGTTATTTCAGAATTTCGCAGTCTGTTTCAACTGATAAGGGATCCTGCCTGGGCTGGACCTGGAGATCAGCGCATGATCTTCTTTCACAGGTCGGATGTTATCACGCTGGGTCCATCGTGCATGTGAGAACACGTCGGGAAATGCCAGGGCCGGATCAGAAACGGCATGGCCCACGAGGCACAGTGTCTCAGCTTGTCCGAGATGCAGGAACGTAGAGCAGGTAGCCCGAAGGCGCGCCTTGACCCAGCACCCGCGCTTCGCGACAGGTGCCCCGCGCACGGCAGCATTGCACGGAGCGCCGCGTTGCCTCGGACCGACAAGCCCACCGCGCACAAGCAGCTCACGGAGTCCGACGGCGAGCGAGGTGAGGAGGCATGGGCGCTCAGCTCGGAGGGGCCACGACAGATACGATGCGCCGCGGCGCGACCGCGCTCGGCAGAGGGAGAGCACACGGCCGCGGGCAGCGCGGCCAGGAGGGCGCGGCCAGGAGGCGCGCAGCCAGCCCGGCCCAGGCTGCCTCCTGTGCCCGCGGGCGGCCCCACGTCTGAATCGCGTTGCGCGGACGCGCCACCGTGAGCCGCGCCCGCGCCGCTGCCTTCATTATCCGCCTGCAATGGCTTGCGCGCGCGCGAACAGCTGCGCCGGGAGAGAGGGGGGGTGGTGGTAGGTCGCGCCGGAAAGTTTACCGCGCGTTGCCAGCCTCGTGCCTCACGCCAGTGTCCGTGCAGCTTGACACGGGATATCGCGCGTGAGGCTCTTCCATCAGGGGCCGGACCCCCGCATTCGGTTGGCGGGACATTTTGGCCTGCCTGGGGCCAAGCGCGCTCTACGGAATACTCTCGGACAGCGAGGTGCGAGCGTCCTGCTTCAGCTTCCTGCGCGGAGAATTGGGTCCGAGTTACGTGGATGGACCCTGAGAAGAGGTATGTGTTCGAAATCGTGATTGCTATCGGCACCAACATCTATCTGCACCTCTATACGAATGGGGACGCGCGACGCATTGGACGGCGCGGACGCGCCCCGTCGACAGGACGAGGCGCCTTTGCTGGACCACAAGGCAGACGGGAAGATCTCGCGGTTCCACGCCCAAGTGACCGTGGACCAACTATTGTTCCACGCGCATGGTTTGGCGGCGGGCGCAGTTCGCATCACGGATCGCGTGGGCTTCGACTGGCCGCGGTACGCAAAAACGATAATTTCGCGCTCTGGGCGTAGCCTAAGCCTACGTGATACGCGAGACGCCATGCCGTGCCGCG